GTGGGTGGGGTGGGGTGATGGTTGGTGGGGTTGGGTGATGGTTGGTGGGGTCGGGTGATGGTTGGTGGGGTTGGGTGATGGTTGATGGGGTTGCTTTCCTGGGTTGGGTGATGGTTGGAAGAGCTGGCTTCATGGGATTGGGTCATGGTTGGTGGATGATGGTGGGTAGGCTTGGGTTCCTGGGTTGGGTTCTCAGGTTGGGGGGGGTGGTTCCTGGGTGGGATGGGGGGTTCCTGGGTGGGTCAGGGTGACCTCAGCCCCTTCCCCCCCAGGTCAACCGGCGCATCGAGCGCTTCATCAACCGCCCCGAGGCCTTTCCTGACTACTCGGACATCCTGAAGGTGATCCAGGAGGACTCTGCCCGCCACAGCTTGGGCGTGGCCCGGAGGCCAGTCAGGACGCCTTCCGGGAGGTGGGGAACCGTCTGCAGGAGAGGAGGCACCTCGACCTGGTCTACAACTTTGGGAGCCACCTGACCGACCAGTATCGGCCTGGTGAGGAAGGGTGGAGGTTCCTCCGAGGGTTGGGCGGGGGTGGGGGAGGTCATAGAGGGGTGGGGGAGGTCATGGAGGGGTGGTGGAGTTGAGAACATGGGTGATGGAGGTCATGGAAGGGTGGTGGAGCTCATGGAAAGCTCATGGAAGAGTGGTGGAGCTCATGGAGGGTGGTAGAGTTGAGAACATGGGTGATGCAGCTCATGGAGGAGTGATGGAGGTCATGGAAGGGTGGTGGAGCTCATGGTGGAGCTGATGGAGGGGTAGTGGAGTTGAGAACATGGGTGATGGAGGTCGTGAAGGGTGGTGGAGGTCACGGTGGAGCTCGTGGAAGGGTGATGGAGCTCATGGAGGGGTGATGGAGCTCATGGAGGGGTGGGGGAGCTCATGGTGGAGCTCATGGAAGGTGGGGAAGCTGAGAACATGGGTGATGGAGCTGATGGAAGTGTGGTGGAGCTGATGGTGGAGCTGAGGATGTGGGTGGTGGAGGTCATGGGAGGGTGATGGAGCTTGTGGTGGAGGTTGTAGGGGGATGGTGGAGCTGGTGGATTATTCTGGAGCTCCTGGAGGATCTGATGGAGCTGCAG